CCAGGCTAGAGATCGCTGTCTCTCCCGCTGTATCCAAGTTTGGGCCATTCCTTGCCCCATTAAACCCGAGCACAGTAATTGAGTTTACGTAGACAAAAAAAATGGGGATTCTGGTAAGGTCCCGCTGTAGGGATGGTCCCGCTGCAGCGGGGGCTGCTATAGTCATGTTCCACTGTAAAAGAAAAGCAAGATAAAAAAGACCACCTACGCTATACATTGAAAACGTTGTATTGGACAGAAGTTTACAACTTGAAGAAAATATGCATCAAAGCAGAGACAGAGAAAGGTGGAGATTTGTTGTGGCAAAGAGCGGGACACTAACAAACAAACTTGGCTTAGGTGACAGGTCACCTTAAAGACTACACGAGTACATCTATGTCAAGCACTTTGTGCCGATCAGCTCAAAGGTGACCACATTACATAAGATAATCTAGGCTGTAGAAAAATTGACACAAGTCAAGAAAAGCTACAACAATTTTCCCATCATCTGTGATCAGTAACTAGGCAGTTTAGCAGACAGGGAGGGTAAAATCTTGTTTGTTTCAATTCAAAATCATCATCCCTGGTTTAGTCTTAGTATTATGGTACATTGTACTTGCAACACAAATACATGTAGTAGGTCATTTATATGCTGAAGATGAGAGATGTAAAAGAGTAACACACTTAGAAAAGAGGGAGGAGAGAGAAGTTCGATAGATGTTTGATTGGAAAAACGTCACTGAACATTGGGCTTCAGGCACAAAATAAAAAACAAAAAGAACGACGCTCATCTTGGCATTGCCAAAAGTAGAATTAGAAAACATGGGAAAGAAGATTCCGTCGTTTTAGTTTGTTGTTTTTTCTGGTCAGACTGAGTGGTAACATGTGTGGCTCCACTGCATGCTGAGCGTGGCAAAGCAAAACTGAGGTAAAAGCGAGAGTCAAAAAGATAAAAATAAGTAAGCATACCTATGCAATTCCTCGGTCCCATACCAAAGGGCAGGTAAGCGCAGGGATGTAGCGATGCTTTGTTCTCCGGTGTGAACCTCTCTGGGTCAAACTTTTCGGGCATTGGCCAAATGTCAGGGTCATGGTGCATTGCCCAAACAGGCACAATAACAGCATAGCCTTAAAAGAAACATTGGAATTAGGATGAATTAGCCCTAGATGGCGCCACTCAGTAGTGACCCAGATTACCAATTTTGTGCTTGATTGTGTTCTTTTGTGTTATAATGCCTGATGTGTATCAAAGACACTGAGAAACAGTTTTGTGTGTGTTTGTGTGTGTAAAAAAAGAGAAAGAGAGGGAGAGAGCGAGATAGAGGATGAGCGAGATAGAGAGAAAGAGAGAGGAAGAAAGAGAGATAAAGAGAGAGATTCAAAGATTCAAAATGATTTATTGATTTGAAAGGCCTTTGGCCCATACATCCACATATTTTAACATATGGTTCGGCAATTACATACATTGGTGCAGCACATTGGATGTTTAACCTAAATTGGACATGCACGCCCACATACACGCATGCGCGCACGCACGCACGCACATAAAGAGAGAGATAAAGAGAGAGAGAGAGAGAGAGGGAGAGAGGGAGAGAGAGAGAGAGAGAGAGAGAGAGAGAGAGAGAGAGAGAGAGAGAGAGAGAGAGAGAGAGAGAGAGAGAGAGAGAGAGTTCATGTCCAGGGAAACACTGTTTAAGAGAATCTCATCATATCTTATCTTGAAACTACCATCATTATCTCAAGTCCCCTTCAATACCACACATAGGATCTATTACCCCCCCCCCCCCCCTTAAAAAAAAAAAGAAAGTGAAAATCAACATCCATCACAGCTACCCTCATGTTCATCATCATTATTGCCTTTCTTACCCTGCATCAGGGTATAGGCCATGAACAAACACTTTCCACCTTTCCCTATCCAGGGCTAACCTCTTGAACATGCAATCGCCACCACAGTGTCACTTTTCGCCCGATTCTGTTACTTTTAGTAAGCGTGACTCAGTCGCCCGCTGGAGCTCCCCAGCTCGGGGTCATGGGGTTAATGAATCCTGAAGCGACTTTGCTAGAGTCGGTTAATTAAGAAGTTCGCATTTTTGTCTACGTTTGAAACAATAAAACTTCTTCCCCATCCAACACAGCAAACCATTACACTGATGCACCAAAAGCTCAATGTCTTGAGATCTATTCTGCGTTAGAATGGTTAATTTTTGTGGGCCTCAGCTTTTGTTCTAGATAAGTGTTTGTAAAGTAGCCTACCCAATTTGTCTTATTTTAGTTACAAACTCATGAATAAATGATAGTTTATTTAAAAACAGCACAACAGATCTTTCCAAAATCTGTGTTAAACAGACTACGAATATCATGTCTTTCACCATGAGAAATCTTTAATCTGCGCAAGTAGTAATAGTCAAATTATAAGAGAAGAAAGAGGCACATCTGCATTTTAAAACTAAAAACACAGGTGTTAGCTCTTATTTTACCATTAATCAAGAGAAAGTTACTCTGCGTTTTTTTATCAGTCATGCTGTGTCTGTGGCAGCTTGCATACAACAAAGAAAGATAAAAATATATTATCACGGGAAATTTTAAAAACACAAAACTGTGTAAATATAGCCTACATGGGTAGAGATAAACTTCTTGTATGGAATAAAAATAATGACAGCTAACACATTCATTCCAGAGCTGGTTATAACAGAGTACTTGTACTTAGGTTACAATTTTCGGTACTTTTACTGTACTCCGGTACATTTTGAGAATCAGTACTTTTACTGTACTCCGATACTTTTTTATAAAAGTACTTTTGAGTATTTTTAAAGTACATTTTGAGTACTTTTGAAGCTTAATGAAAGGGTAAGTGTCGGCATTTCTGATAATAATTTACGGAACAAACTCCCGGGCGGGCACAGCCGATCAACCGAGAGTTAAAACTTGAGATCAGAGAACGGCCCGTCTCGTCAAAGATCAGCCACTCTCGTGAATGTGATCACAAGCGTTGTAAAACTCCATGAAACGGTACAATGTTTGCCCCAGACGGGATCACACAGAGGTGAGAACTGACCGATGTGTTTCTTTTCCCCAACCATCGCACTCGCATCTGAGCTCGCCAACTAAACTTACATCACTCGCTGGGTGGGTAGGACCTACAAGTTCGCCCCAGGCAGGATCACATCGAACTGTGAACTCTTCCCTGACCATTGAAGGCAGTTTTTCTCTATTCCCGAATTTGCGAGACAGCCTGAATTTTAATTGGTGTGGTCACAACGTAATGGTGCGTAATGACAAAGACTCAATCAGAGATGGAAGGCTAAAATATTTGCACAGGTAAAGGGGAGGGGCAACTGGATAAACATAGATAATATAAAGATCTCGAGACTCACAATAGGCTAATGAGTGTGTATATGGCATGCCTCATGCCATCATGCAACTGTGATTGGTCATCAAGGTTGACCACTCTTTGCTCGCCATATATGTTCATAAACCAACCAAGGGGTCTCGTCAGTTCATGGGTCACTGTAGATTCTTCCTTGGCTTCGTCGGCTAAGATCCCGTATTTCCTTTGCTCCCGAGCACTGAGATCTTAGGCGGAGATTACTGTAGTAAATAAGCTTTGGTTACACTACACTTACTAGACTCTAGGAAACTACATGTATTTTGGTTTGCCGTGGGCGCCGTGGACTGCACAGTGTTACCAAAATCTGTCTTACCACTTTTATAATCAACTGAAATTGAAAGTGAGTTCTCAATGTGTATCTAATTGTCTTGCTCAAACAAGTTGCATTCATAATATCACTGACTCACTAGTTGCGTCTTTTTTTTTTTTTTTTTTCACTTTCACGGACCTTTTCCACCTACGTTCAGTGCGTATATTCAAATGCTTTGTAGGCCTATACTGTTTACGTTTTTTGTAATAAATGTCCTAATTTGTCAAATATACTGGATATGTTATTCAATTTGATGTTTTGCATTAGCACTGAAGTGTTTTAGCATATTAGCAGAAAGTACTCAAAATGTACTCATAAGTACTTTTTTAAAAAAGCACTTGCACTCAAGTACATTTTACAAGAAAGTACTTTTACTGTACTTAAGTACATATTTTAGATTGTACTTAAGTTTTTACTTAGGTACCTTTTTAAAAGTACTTTAACAGCTCTGATTCATTCTCAGTTTTTCTGTCGGAAATATGCGAAGACACTTATGAATGTAAAGAAACCAGAACATTGTCAGTTGCAAATGGTCATAGAAACGAAAACAAAAGTTGGAAAAGTCTGGTGCTGATTTAGTGTCTCTGGAAAGCTGGAAGTTATTCTTATAACCTAAATTTTATGAGAAGTCATCCCTAGTGCTATTCAGTCAACTTACAAAACCTAGACTTAGTGTCTTAAGAAAAGTAAGGAATTTCTAGAGTGTAACAGATACTGTTCGTGTATTGCATTGTAGATGTATTCTGGCACTAAAATCGATTAGTTCTTTTTCATAGAGAGACTTCAGGGTAATTTTTATAAACTTCCGAGAAAACATGCCAATATTCACGATGATATTGATTAGACACATACAGTTGTATTTGGAGGAATTACGTCATAGTAAATTGTGTGCCAGATGAATAAAGTTGCAAAATTACAGCTTTCTATTATATATGCGCAGATACCATAATTCCTGAGTATCTGCACCAATGCTACCTTGTTCACATTCCAAAAGTTCCGACAGTTTTTTTCATGCCTTTTTTTTTCATGTTGATTTTTTTTTTCATTCACAATTGTCCAAAAATTTTTACAATTTAGCTTTGCCGACTTCAGGGCGTCAAATGAAATAACCAGACAAGTTACAATGTTCTTTCTTTTTAGAGTCTCAAGAGCAGAAATGCATGCTTTGGGTGCATCAAATGATAATTACAATAAATGCAAGGATACACCTAAAACTGTATGTGAAAAGTACCAAAAATAAAGTCACCCCAGACAGAGCGGCGACAAGAAGTTGACCCCCGTGACCCGTCGTGATAAGGCGCTTCGTGGGGAACCCCCCACTGCAACCAAAATTCCACTGCCGGTGTGCCGTGCCACGTTCAATTTTATCAATGTGCTGAAAATTTCATACCAATTTGGGTCATTTTCGCAGAGATATATGGGAATAGTACTAATGTTCCCCATCTGCATCCAAGTACGTGGGGACAAAGAATTTGCGCTCTGCGTGCTGGGTAGGTGGAAAGTTTTAAAGGTAGCAGAAATGGGTGCTGTCTATGAAAAGGTTGTCAAACACTGCTCTATAGCCAACTGAGATTGACTTTTACCTTTGGGAAAAGTGATCCCTTGTATATCCACTGTCTCCAAACATTGTCTTTCTAGCAGGTAACCTGGTGGGTACATCCGCAGGGTCTCACTGATGCACATATCCAAGTAGGTAAGGCTCTGGATATTAGTGTAGTTGGGAAAATTTCCGTTCAACTTCTGGTCAAGCTCTTTTTGAACCTTTTTCAGGACTTCTGGATTCATGGCTATTTGGAACAAGGTAAAAGAGAGAGTTGTGGACACAGTTTCGTAGCCACCCAGGAGGAAGATTAATGCTGCGCCCTGGGGAAAAGTACGTTTGATATCATAACACAATGAGTCAAAATAAAACTTAAATTAAATCAGTTGGAATTAAAACAAATCATTTTCAGAATACCTGCGTTTAGACGACAATTCAACATTTTTCATTAAATGCAGAATTTCAAATATGAGCAAGAATGTGCAAGGCGTAAATTTTAGCAGAGCTTTGTGGCAGAGCATATATGCTTTTCATCATTTCATATATCTGGACTTACAGCCAATTCAAGCTACCCTCAAAAGTCTTACTGCATAACTGACAATAGATACCCTTAAAAGCACAATCGCTTAACTGACAACGGATTAAGACAAAGGTACTTCTGTCTAACTGCCGATGGATTCAGACAAAATCTATTTCAATCTTTGCTTCACATCTATCTCTCATTCACAATCTGCTAAACCCCTACAATCCACTTTCTCAGTTGTTGACAGAAAAGTTTCGACTGGAAATATGAAAAAAAGGGAAAAAAAGAGGAAATTTAAGAGTAGTAAAATCACGAATCACTTAAATAACCAATTTTTTTTTTTGGTAATTGTTTTACGGCGCTCACAACTGCATAAGGTTAAATGAGTGCGCAGGACACATTAAACATTTTCGGTTGGTAGGAAATTTTGAATTCTGCCTGGGTGGCGGCCAAAGCCTACTCTTATCAATTTTAGACCACCAAGGAATCTTTAACGTGCGCAACTTGCACACGGGACCTCCGCGATTTTTCTCCCTTGTCCGAGAAGGCTAGGTGTAAAGCTTTCCTACCAGAAGATAAGGGGTGTGGCTGAAAGACAGCAGCAAGAATGAGCCAAGGAGTATCAGTAGAAAGACTGCAAAAAGAGTCAGGAGCCCAGAGGAGGGGGCAAAGGAGGTGAGAGGGTGGGGGCAGAAAGTGGAGATGAAAGCAGACCACAGAACATTGCTAGAGAGCAGGAAAGGAGGTGAAAGGAGACAATTTTAGAGAACATTTTTTTCTGTTGCTACCCTTATTCGAACCCGAGACCTTTGAATGAGAGGCGAACACCTTAACCTCTAGGCCACGAGAGCCCCCCCCCCCCCCCTAATAACCTGTAAGCGATCTCACAAACAATAATTGGGGGGGAAAAAATCCCTTCAAATTAGTAACATAATGCTATTTCTTCAGAATAAATAAATAAAACACTCTGGATTAAACAGTCAAGATGTTGTGGGCCTACTCCCTGTTTTGTTAATGCAAGTTTAGTTGAAAGAATGCAAACATTAAAATTTTCATCATGAAAAAAAAAGATGTTTCAAGCTACAAGATTAATTTAACCACAACATGTTCAGAAAAAGAGAAAAAGATTTGATACAAGGAAATACAGCAAGTAACCTGTAGCACAGACAAGCAGGCGTTTACAATAAATTTATAAGGGAAACAAGAAAAAACAATAATGCTGTGTATAATGAGTACATGTGCTGACTTCTAAGATATTTATGAGCGATCAAATCCAATAATTCAATCAAACGTCAACTCAAGTCATTTTTTCTTGGCATGTAATTATATGTGAGGCAAATCAGGCACTCGTCAAAATATAATGAAATTGATAAAACAAGCATTTTTCATTCATTTTTTTGCAATTTTTCTAAAATATTTGTTTTGTTTTGGTTCAACACCTTTTAGTTTTATGTCCATATAAAAACACATTTCCATGTGAATTTTACTTTTAAAAAACCCCATTGATTAATGGCACAAAATATGTAAATTTGAGCTTTCAAGGACTCTCAAACTATAGAAGCTACCAAACTTTAGTGGCCATTTCCTGGCTTATTTTACCTCTGAAATCAGGCTATCCCTGTGTCTTTCAATCGTAAATATCTCTACTTCTATTCATGATGGATGGATATTTTTTCATAAAAAACAAGACAAATAAATAAGCTTTCAGAAGATGCCAATAACTCCATGTGCCCCAAAACTGTCTTATAGTGGCATTTGCCCTGTGAGAAAAAGCTTTACTAAGCATGGAAATGTCTATTTGAATGACATCAAGAAGAAAATAAGGGTAAGACATGACGTTCCAGCACTTGCACGATATAGTCCACTAAACTAAGCCATCCAGTGTTTCACATGAGGGCTGTCTAGTGTCTAGCTCATTCAACCGTAAACCACCGAAAACCCTGGCACTTTCGTGGCCTCCATTCCTCACCGACAGAGGGATACGCCTAATTTCTAACACAGTCCATGTGCTCTACACGAAACCAATCGCTCCTAAACAAAACCAAAACTACTATACTGATGAGCACATGGCATGTGAGGTGCAGGTTTTGCGTGGTATTTTTAACAGCTCTATTTTCCAATCTGTTTTAAAATAATATCATCAGAATATGCTGTTCATTGCAGAGACAATATTAATCTCTTTTCATTTGATATTCAATACACGTCCATTCCACCAAAGCTGATGCATCCCAGTCTACGCGCGCACATACATCTCTCAACATAGGTACAATTGTAATGTGTCATATGATGCAGAATTCATTTAGCTTTAAATTGGTATGCTGCATGAGCGGGAAGTGCAAGGCTATAACACGATGACTGGGTGATTACATTTTAAAGTTTCTTTAGGATGCCATTACATAAATATCATATATCATTATTATTATTATTATCATCAACATTTACTGCCCATGTTGATTGTAAAAAGGATGTTGTTGGTTTTTTGCTTCTAGATTAATAATAATAATAATAATAATAATAATAACAATAATAATAATATAATAACAATAATAATAATAATAATAATAATAATAATAATAATAATAATAATAATAATAATAATAATATTAATAATAATAATAATAATAAAAATAATAAATAGCATTTGAATAGCGCATATCCCAGCTCGGCAGGAAGCTCTATGTGCTTTACACACAAGTCTTACTAATACAATACAGTCAAACCTGCCATGACGGCCACCTGTATAATAGGGCCACCTGTACAAACGGCCTCTTTCCATTTCCCCTCTTTCGTTTTTTCTCAATATTATTTAACTGAGTAAAACGGTCACCTGTCCAACGTGACCACAGCCACCTTATTTTATCAACTCACTGTCAAATTTACCTGCCTCAGGCGGCCAGACGTGGTCACTCATTGCCCGACGCTTTGTCATAAATTTTGAATCTGCCCCTCAAGCTGTGGACCCTCATTCACCTGACCGATTGTTAGTCCCTACAATGAATGTTTACCCAAGTTGACTAATGGGTAGGCCTAACAATACATTTTCAACTGCTGGGGAGGGAAGTGTGATCCATCATAATCTATAAGCCCCGCCCACAACTCACGCACAAATCAGATGTGAGGTGGCTGGTCACTGTTTTGTTTACCTCATCTGTAACAAAGTAACAATGGATGTTGACGTGAACTTGCGACAGAAACGTCACTCGTTCTCCAAGTGGTGGCGACCATGCCACTCAGTCTACATCGTCTTACAAAATGTTTCGTTTATTTTACCCTTGCACAAAATCAGCAGCATAAAGAAAGCTAACCCCCCCCCCCCCCCCCACAAAAAAATAAATAAATAATCCAACACAAAAAAACTTTCTTAAACTACCCTCCCCCTTTAAAAAAAGAAAACAAAAACCCTTTTGAATCAGCCTTTCGATTTGGACCTTAGAAGAGAATGATTTGCTTTCTTCATTTTGATCAGTCCTGCCTAAGACAGCCACCAGTGTTATACGGCCACTTTTCTCCTTGACGATGGGTAGCCGTTTTACACAGGTTTGACTATATATAGCCTAATGATGTCGGCCTTCAAGGAGTTAATCCTACCTGCACTTCAGCAACGGACAAGCCAGACTTCTGTTTCTCTTCATTATCCTTGACCGTATTCTCCTTTTCAGCATCCAGTATCACTTGTATAAAATCCTGTCTCTTCCTTTCCTGCACTTCACTTTGTCTCAGTTCCAAAGCCCTGCCCACAAAGTTTACAAAGAAATTAATCAAATCTTTGTTTACGAAGGAAAATTTCACAGCCTTCTGGAGGTGACCAAGAAAAGGAAAAAGGAACACAAGAGAAAAAAACCTGAAAAACTGATCTGTTAATTTTTTGGCATTTTTGACAAACTCGTTTTCAGGGTCTCTGGTGGAGTTAATATCAGCACCAAATGCTGTGCTAGCAATAGCATCCATCGTGAAGGCAGACATGAGGGTTTTCGTCTCAACAGCCTCTCCGCTTTCCTGTTTTTCCATTAGAACTTCCATCAAACTCTGTCAAGAAGAGCAAAAAAAGATTCAGTTTTCATTTGACTACTTAAGACTTAAGATAAATAAGATTTGGTGAATCTTTATTGTCGAGATTATGCTGGCCATTGGTTTGGTGTTTCACCACAGATACACACACACACACACACACATACACACACTCACTCATACTCACACATATACACACAAACACATGCACAATCACACATCCTCTCTTCCACATTATACATACACACATAATATATGATTGTACTCACAAATAGACCCACAGTTAAACAAATAAGACGTAAATGAAAAAAATATCGTTAATTATATAAATGTCGTTTGAAGGAAAACCAGGCAGGGGTAGGCCCATAGCAACCTACTTAGGGAACCTAAACAAATGGGTAACAGGGAAAGATCAGGGAAACGTAACTTTTAATTAAAAGAGCATCCGAGCAGAGGAATGAATGGAGAACCATGATTGCCGATGTCTGCTACAGATCTGGCACTGGATGACGATATAAAGGTTTACGCTAGATATATAATCAGCATGCAACATAAAGAAAGGGGCACACTACCACCTAAGTTGACGTCAAGCTTTGGGGATAAGAAGAATACCTTCTAAAAAAACAGTAGTCAAGTTGAACCAAAATTGTTCAAGATGGCCACCCAATGTCAAGGGAACAGCGATTGTCTTAGACATGTGGACCTCTTGGACAGTGTTTCTTTATTTTTAAAAAAATATTAAAACAATTGGGTAGACGAAAGTAGACAACAGAACATGGTTAGAGAGCAGGACAGGAGGTGAAAGGGGAACATTTTTTTTGTCGTTGTCCAGAACACATTAACCTCTAGACCACGAGAGCGTCCCACAGTGTTTTTTTATGTGAAAAAATGCAAGGGGTCAAATGAAAAGTGGTCATTTGTACAGGTGGTTGTTGTGGACAGGTGGTCGTTAAAGCAAATTCGACTGTATTTAGGCTGGATGAAATGTGAGGTAATTTTTTTTGGTTGGGTAAACAGGCTTATTCAGTTTAAAAAATGTATCCGCACTGTTTGCTGAAGATCATATACTTATAGATGAGGTGCCCTTACAATCTAACACTGGGTACACAGAAGACGAAATGGCAGTCGGCCAAAGTAAAAAGACACCCTCTACACACAGTAACTCGCTTCAAGTTCCAGAGGTGACAGGCATTGACGTGGAATCCACAAGGAAAGCATAAGAAAGCAAGACCAAAGATGGCAAGGAGGCGAGCGGTACATGCCGAAATGGAAAAGGTGGGAATATCATGCAAACAGCTAAAAAAGGACGCACAGGACAGGCCTCCCTGGAAAATGTTATTGATGGCCTATGCTCCACTGGGAGTTAAAAGGGGCAAGAGGAGAGAGAGAGAGAGAGAGAGAGAGAGAGAGAGAGAGAGAGAGAGAGAGAGAGAGAGAGAGAGAGGTACATACCTGAGATTTTTTCTCCAACAACCCACACATGTACCTTAGCTTGGTTGTGCTGAAAAATGGGCTGACAGTCTTTCTCACATGCTTCCAACGCTCTCCTTTCAAAACAAGGAGAGACTCATCCAAACAACAGCCAGTGTCTGGGAGATGGCGGTGATCAGAGAAGTAGTTGAAATATTTCCCTAGCACATCTTTGGCCACATCCAGAGATGTAATCATAATGCCTGGAAATCTCAGAGTGTACACAGCACATACCTGAAAAGAAATCATAATAGCACGTTTGAAGAGTAAATTATGGTAATCAAATCAATACATGTTGGTGGGATGTTCCAGAAATAATAAGAAAAATGGCCATAAAATAAAACAGTTTTGTTATGTTTGAGATACAACTTACACAGCTAGTTGGCCAAACATTCCCCTTATTTCTCAATTTAGTCACCATAGACATTCATGTATGTTTCTCATGCATAAAATCCTTTCACATGAAAACAGAAATTTCATCTAAATGGCTCCATGTTACACAAAGTGTGCTGCAATACACAACTAGCATACCCCATATAGTGGAAACTTAACAAAGCTACAACAACAATGAATTAATAACAAGTACAATTTTTTTTAAACAATTCATTCAAACAGCTTTTGATAAATCTCATTCATTACCTTGTGAGGTTTGTAAGCCTGGTAGATCTCACATTGATTTTCAAATACATTTCCCAACTGAGTTCCCGTAAATAGTCTGGGTTTTGGTCCAACAAATCCAAGCTTCTGCAACTCCCCATGACGACTGGACATGTACAGCAAATAGGAAGCAACGATAGCAATGATGATGACAAAAACAAGCAGGATGGCGACAAGCAGAGACAGAATCATTGTAGCACTGTCAAGATTTTGGCTCGCTCCTGAAGGCAAAATCTATCAGTCAGAGGTGATGTCCTGGAAAAAAATACAAACCAGCAGATCAATGAATTGAAAAGAAATAAAATTTGTAAAGCACACAGAGTATGCTCTACAGATCATGGAAATGTACGGGATATAAAGGTAATTATTATTGACTACTATTAATTCAGGCATAAATGAAGAGACAGCAAATATAATATTATATAAGTACCAAATAATATTATAAACTAAATAATAAATTAACCATTCGTTGCTGTATTCTAAAAAGTTAACTCCGAAAAATCGTACTTTGTTTTTTCCCCTGAATTCTGATCGATATCTCACACAACATCCTATAAATAACTGTCAGCCAGATTAACCTACCCATAGAACAGTTACTACGAATACAGTGTTGGACTCAAACAGATAAAATGAGGGTAACAACCTTACTTTTTTGTTCTTCCACACTCCTGTATAACTTACAGAAACCCAGTTTGCTGTTAAAAATCTTGCAGCAGCATATATATTAATTTTTTTAAAATGATAATAAAATTTGTTGGTCTCTGTGACTCAGCATATTTTACTGAGCTTCCTTTGGGAGCTAACCTGTTTGTGTCTGGCAGGTTTACTTCTCCAAGCTGAACATGGACATATGGTAAAGATAAACTCTCCATTCAGAATTAACTTGGCTAGACCTGGTATGCACATCATTGAGGCACAATAATAATACATATTAAAATATGCGGTCGGTGTCATGACGTCATGTGCGAAAGACGCGTTTAACGTACGGACATTAAGAACGGGAGGTTAAATTTACTTTTACCCAAGTAGCCTTGTATTTAAGTTAAAATTAGACTCGTGCACAAAGTGGAAGTCACTGCATGAGCAAGTTATTAGCCCCAGGGCCAGGATCAGTCATCAAGCCAAAGAAGGTGAAATAATAATGGGGTCTCCTGAAAGCAACGCACCTCCCCCGGCCTCACCTCCCTCAAATCAACGACTCTGTCACTGTGCCGGGTTGTTGCTCTCCATCTAGATTCTAGAATTTTAGCATCCAAGAAAACTAAAGTCCTTCGGATATGATATTATATCGTCCTTAGCCTACGCCTTTGTCAACGATCTATTATGATCCCTGCACACTATCTCTGTTTCTGGACTTTGCACACTCAAGTCTCAGGCTTGGCCGTGGTTCTTCGAGACTGCAGGGCTGAGGAAGATCTGCACCACTACACAAGATTCTGTTATCTGCACTCTCTTGGCGAGTAGATCTAGGCAAGGTGGAAAGGGG